GTATCTTCCCCCAATACTAAGGTTAAATGCTTTCATATATGCCCAGAGTATTTCAAAGCAAGATTAAAACGGGGTAGAATTGTGGGAAAGGCTGTGATTATGCTACTGAAATATTAGGTCAATTAGCACAGGTATCTTCTTGGAGCACTGATGTGAAGTAAGAAAATGCAATTATTCTCATTCTAGAGATAAGGAATGGAAGTGTGGTGACAATGAGGCCCACATCTTCAAAGAAATGAAAGTGTCCAATTCCTTGCTCTTCATGTTAGGATTGGGCACACTCCTGCTTTTAGAGAAAAAGGACTTTATAGTTTGTTGAGGCACAAAAAATTGAGCATAGTGCTTTAAAGTGAAAAGGGACAGAGAGCTTTGAACCATATTTACTCTTATGAGAACTAGGAAATTCATCTGTTTGTTATCACAGTTGTGGGAAGATGAGGTTCACTTTAATTATGTTTGGATTTGTAACTTCCATCAGGAATTTAGAGTGGTGAAGGGGAATGCCTTTTTCCCCTTTCAAAATAAATAAATCAAATCACTGGATGCTCTTCTCTGTTCACAAGCAAATAATACCATGGTGATAGCCTGAAAGGAGTAAAAAATAGTTACTTATGCAAGGTTCCTAGGAAACAGCAGTGTCTGTGCATGTGTTTTTTCCCCATTGTCTCTTTCATGCTTTTGCCTGTTTATCATTATGGAATAATTGTACTTCAGTACGTATTTTTTCCAATTTATATCTGCAATCTCTTTCACTCTAACACAGTTTAAATTAGTTATATCTTGGGTTAGCTGCTGGTTTAGAAATATACACCTGAAACAAACCGAGTGAAGGAAGGAACAAAGGCTTTCTCCTTCTCTATTATTGCTGTCTAATATACATTCTATAGTCTGAAATCAGAGGCTGTACCGGTGTGTTCATCCTTTCCATTATTTTGGAATTGCTTAAACATTTAAAAAAGCCCAATGACCTTGAATGCGCAGACTGGGGAGTAACAATTATTTTCTGAGGTATTTCTCTCTCTCCTACAACGCTGTAGTAAGTTTCTTCAGTATTCTCATTAATTCCAATGTTTTTTGCTAGTGGTTTTGTTAGCAGAGTATGGAACAGTTGCAAAGAATTTTTTGTTTGTTTTGTTTCATTTTTTAAACGATGTTTCTTCAGTGAGCAAACAATTTACAGGACATTCAGGGCATAAAATCTCAAAAGTATATACTACCCAGATATGGGACTACATTATTGCCATTTAAGACAGCAAGTTAGAAAAACCAAATCCTCCAGAAGATTCAAAGACTGTTTATCGAATTAAGCTCAGGCAAATTTCTCTGTCTTTTAAAATTCTGTATGAATACAGTTTAAAATGCAGGCCCATTGCTTTATTATCTTTTAAAATAAAGCAAAGCAGGTGGTTTTGTATCAAAAGTTAAACTATCTTCTTTAATCCATTGTCAGTATGTTACTCTTATGACTGTTCTTAGAAATTAAATAAAATATTAGAGGTAATAACTTACGTAGTTTCTTCCTTCAAAAATTCCAGGACACTAACCTTTTACTTGGTAACCATGCTGAAAAAATAGGGAAGGGGATTCATTCCAATTGGAAAGTTAGAAGAAACACTATTTGCAGAGTCATGCAGACCTCAGTTTATGCCTGCTGAAATGCAGTTCACAGTATCACTGCTCTTTAAATTAGATAAAGATGAGCTAATAACACTTCATCTCCTTGGAGAGATGTTTGCATTATTTCATATATAAATTAAGTGAGAAAGCTGGGAAAGTGATTCAGTATATTAGATGTTTCATCATACCCGCTTTTGTTCCTAATATTTTAGTTTCTCTTCTAAGAAAGGTCAAAATTGATGTATTCTCCCTACAGATGGCAAGGTGCAATTTTAAGTAGTAAGTTGCTTGCCTCCTCACCCTGATATTTACTCTATTTTTTTTTTTTTTTACTTTTGGTGCCTCGTCCTATTGAAATCAATATTTAAAAATTGGACCTATGGGAAAAATTATTTTCTCAATATTTTTTCTTTATTTCCTCTGATATAGCTTTACATTTTTATGGGCTCTGTTTTTGGCTGACATAATGCTACATAGGTATCAAATAAAAGGCCCATGGCTTTGTGGTTCTATGCAAGACTAAAAAGGATACGTCTCTGCTATAGAACTGTAAACTCTACTTTTTCCTTTGTACATGCTGATAAACTTAATTTGCCACATAAGTACACCGGGCAGCCAGGCTCTCAAAAGGTAGAGCTGATGTTCTAATTCACTGTTTTCCCTCTTGTCCAGGCTTTCATCTCTATCCACAAGCATGTTTTTAATGCCATTCTGATATACAGTGACATGAAGAGGCAGAGTTTTATGCACTAATACTGTGAAATGCTCTTAATTTTACTACAAAACCAGACCTTTGCAGAAACAAAAGTAAAGAGAGGATTATGTTTTCTTAGTGCTTACAGCCACTAGTCACATTTATGATTAGTCTGGTAAATTGATTAGAATGTATCACCTAAGCATCAGATGGAAGTGTTGAGCTCATTAAAGAGCTTTCATTGTAATTGCAAAAAGGAAAAAAAGCCCACGATAACAAAATCAAGCAAATATCATAACCCAAACATAAATAAATAAACCTGAGATGAACTCACAAGATGAATGTTTCAAAACTAGACCAAATAATGATAATTATTCTGCATAGACTTGTCACATACTGAGATAAAAATCAGTGTTAAAATCTATAAAAGCAGTTTAGCTATAATTTTTGGGTTGAGAAAAAAAAAAGCCTTTCTTGACAGAAAACAGCTTGTGGCTAATGAGATGTGAGTCTGTCAGTTCTACTGGAAAGCACTATTGGTCCTCCACAAAGTATTGCAGAAAAAAGACCCAAAAAAACCCTGTGGTATAATATACTTAACTATAGCTCCATCTAGTCAAAATAGTTGAAATAATTTTGCTAACAAAGATTCCTAAAATGGGCAGAGGGACTGGGATACAACACGATGACAGTGATGTCTGGATGCAGCTGCCTTTTTGCAATAGCTTCATTGCTTATTATAATTTACTTTTGCATAACCTTGCAATGTTTTCTAATGAAACTTCTAGCTTCCTTTTTAGATACAATGGAATTGTAATGTGGGCTATCAATTATTTACTTTTAAAAAACTTTTTATTCGTGTACTTCATACAGACAATAAAATTGTTTGTTTTGCCTCGAAGTTTGATCATGGAACAGAATGTAGTTGGATATAATATGGTGGATATATATGTCTGATGGACTTGACTTACTGATGGAGTGCAGAAATGTCATTGCCAGCCCTTTGTTGTGAGGAAAGCAAGTAAGCTCCATGGATAGCCCAGTCTATACAACAGTGATCATCTGAGTCATATTCATTATCTCAATTACACCTGTCAATCAATTCAGTTAGTAGTTGTAATGCCCCATCCACTCAGCAGGTTGAGGGGAAGGTAATTTTGAATTACTCTGGGCAGCGTGCGGGAGAAAAAAAACCCCAGTTCTCAGGAGGTTCGAAAAGAAATAATTTTTACTTAGGAACTTTGGGTCACCCGTGTGGAATAAGACACTTGGCAAAAGGAAAATCAGTAAACTTCACAGCATTCAAACATTCTGTTGCAAACTTTTAGTCAGCATACCTTGAGAGAACAAAGCCCTTAGCTGGGCACTGATCATGGCACTTAGGGAGTACTTAAGGGCATACTGCTCAGTGTGGCTTGTAACTTAATATGTTGCAAAGGAAAAAAGAAGAGAGAAAGAGAAAAAAATAGATGAGAAAGAGAGCTAGATATGCAGAGCTCGACCTCTTCCCCCCCACTGTTTTCCCAAATGGTTGTTTTGAGCCAAACAACTTTTCCTCCAGCCCCTGACAATAGTAAAGTAGGAAATAAATTGCACTGAACTTACCTAGAAAGCTGTGTTCAATGCAGTGAAACATAGACATATATCTAAGCACTACAGGAGGAGAACTGGAATGGGGAGCTGTTTTTGGAATAGTGTCTGAGAGAAAAATACCAGCATCATGGTAGACTGTCAGTCAAACTTGGATCCCCATCCCTGTGGCCAAGGAAATTCATTTTGGTGTGCAAACAAGAATACAAAGTCCCGGTACAGAAGTGGTATCACCTTTGTATTTTTCCCTTCTGTTACTGCAGCAGTGAGGTTTCCAGATCTGGGCTACGCACTTCAGACAAAAAGATGACAAATTGAAGAGAGCACAGAGAAGAGCCACAGACTAATTAAAGGATTAGAAAAATATGATTTCTACAGAAAGACTTAGGAGCTTAATTTATTTAGATCATCAAAGAGAAGGTTAATGGGTGATATGATCACATTCTCTAAGTGTCTAGAAAAGAAAAAGAAATTTGATAAGAGAGGGCTCTTCAGAGCAGGGAAAAAGATAACGAGAGCCAGCGGATGTTAGGTGCTGCAGTGACACAGAATCAGACTAGGAGTAAAATCCTGTGTTCTTGTTGAAACAACGATGACCATTGCTCTCTGAAATATGTTACTGAAGGTGCTGCTAAATTTTCCATTACTAGACTTCTTAAATCAAAGGTGGAATGCTTTTGCTAAAAGACCCAGTCTTGTTCAATCTCTGCTTGTAGAGTTGTAATAACCCCAGTCCACTCGGCGGGTTGAGGGGAAGGAAATTTTTAATTACTCTGGGCAGTGCACTGGAGAAAAAAACTCAATTCTCAGGAGGTTCAAAAAGAAATAATTTTTACTTAGGAACTTTGGGTCACCCGTGTTGAATAAGACACTTGGCAAAAGGAAAATCAGTAAACTTCACAGCATTCAAACATTCTGTGGCAAAATCTAACTCAGCATACCTTGAGGGAACAAAGCCCTCAGCTGGCACTGATCAGGGCACTTAACGAATACTTAAGTGGATACTGCACAATGTGGCTTGTAACTTAATATGTTGCAAAGGAGAAAAGAGAGAAAGAGAGAAAAAAAGATGAGAAAGAGAGAAAAATAGACAAGAAAGAGAGGTAGATAGTCACGACCCGTGGATCCAGCAAGGTCCCTTCAGCTTCCAGGGCAATGGGGTGCACGCTGCATGACACTTGTCTCACTGTCCTTTTATCTATTCCTTTTGCTCAGGGCCCATCCCAGTGTGAGCTCACACTTGCACCTATGATTTAGGCAAAGTCAGGAGCTTTGCCATCATCTTGGGGCTTGCAGCAAGGCCACATGGTCACCCACCTCCATCTCAGGGCTCCCATCAGGGCCATGTGGTCACTGAGGCCATTCCAGTGCAGACCTGCAGTTACCTGCTAAGCCTCAAAGGGCTGGGGGGGTTGGGGAAGCAGCCGCCACATCACCTACGCAGGGCTCGACCTGTTCCCCCACTGTTTTCCCAACTGGTTGTTTTGAGCCAGACAACTTTTCTTCCAGACCCTTACAAGAGTTAAGGAAGAAATTATGAAATGGGAGTTTAATGACTATACAAAGAGCTGTTCATACTAAAGAATCGTAGTGGTAGTGTCCAGCTGTTGAAATTATGATGGCCTCAATCTGGCAGGATTTTTTAGACTTGCCTTCTTTATTGAAGGCTCATCATGAAGCATTCTTGTTTTTATAGGCCTGTTCACGTGGGTTAGAATCAGTGTATTCAATGCTGGGAGTAGGAACAGGGTTTTGATAGTGATAGTGTAAGTTCTCCCAGGCATAAGGGATTTTCCAAAGCAAGTCTCCTGAGGAATGATGATGTGATTTCGGTCAGTGGCTTCCATCTGTGGGTAATCATGATGTAGCAGGAACCTGCACCACTGATAGCCTGGGTTCTCCATCCCACTGAGCACTTGCATGGGCTAGCAGCCTCCCTGGCATGCTTCCTGGGTACATGCTACCTCCCTATTTAACAGAAACAACACCTCTCCTCAAAATACTGCCAGTCCCACCAGGAAGCAGAGTGGCTTAAAACCACTTCTTTGACACTTACAATGCTGTGTTAAATGGCACAATGCTGATGCATTCTTTAATGATCATCTGTTTCATATAGGCTTTTCCAACCTTCTCCGGTCCTTCCAACCTCAGAGTTCCTACTTCAGTAACCCAAGTTAGATGCAGATACAAACAGTAAAGTGACTCATAAATTTTTCTTTTGTCTTAGTTTTCCCATCACTCACTAATAATTTGTCTTCCTTAAGAGGTGTGCAGTATCCATTCATTTGGTCTTGCTTTATCTGTTTTCCTCTATGCTTCACAGGCTCCTTTCTTTCCACTTGGGCTAGTTTCCATGTTAAAAACCTCATTTTCTCTGTTCCCTTTTCTCCACTCCAAGCTTTGTATGAAGCTATGTGCATCTTCTCCAGGTCCACACAGCATTTCTGTTGGTAAAGGATAGAATGAATGTTTTCATCTCATCTTTATATACTATATTAATTCTTGCTTCCAAAATATCAGCATGCACAAGAGTGGCCAGAGAAAAGAAAGTGGCCTCTTCAGATCATGGCATCTACAGTTTTCATTTAAATGGTTGATCAGGAAGGTTTGCATACTGACAGCTCTTCCAATCAGACAAGTCTGTGACTTGACAGTCATTAGCAAATGATAGACTACATGTACACCGACACCTTCATGATAAGGACTATAATACCAGAAAGGGAATATAGGGTAATTATGGGAAGATGTTAATAGGGTCCTAAATCATTACAGCAGGGTTTTATTAAGCTATCTTCCATTCCTATTCCTAATGTAATTGACAGATATCACTGTGCTAATCTCTGACACTAGGTCTGTTTAATGCTCCTTGCATGCAAAAAGTATTTTAGACCACATAGCCTCTTATCCACAACTCATACTTTAGAAGGTTATTTCTTTGGTAAGTTGCTTGTAATTTAGTGGAAGTAATAACAGGCTGTGTGCATTTTTCTGGATTTTTAAAATTCTAATTTAAGCGTTAAGCAATTTATGCATTATCTTGAGGTTCCTTGACACATTGGAATTGAAAGAGGAGAAATGGGAGGAAATGGCAAATCTTTTCTGTGTTCTTTTTTTTTTTATTCTTGTTTATGATTTTTCACTCATCAAGTATTTCTCAACGTGTGGTTTTCAAGAAGCAGGGTTTGATTAATGAAGTGTCAGATACAGCGAATGTCATGAGAATTGTGGCATTTATTGTTTGCAGCATTTAAATTAGCTATGGTGTTTTCAGTATTCCTTATGTTTTATTTACTATATGTGTTATCCTGTTGGTAGTAAATACTTTCTTAGAATAAATAGCAGAGCATAGTAAATTTTGATCTTTAAATATCTGTAGGAAGTTGATATTTATACAAAAATGATAATCTCTCTTCAGATATGCATTTTGGTGGAAAAATTTTATTTATTTCAGGGATGTAAGTGCTTATGTTCCACATCTAAGGCCATCAGAATTATTTTACATAGGGAAATGAAAATCTGGCTATAATTGCATTTTTGGCAATATCAGTAGGTCAAATAAAAGTTCAGTAGTTAATCTTTTATTGAGTACTTCCTTACTGTGGCCATCTCAAAAGCCGTATACTCGATAATAGATTTCTATATTATCATGCCTTCCATATAGAAGACATGCCTCAGTTTAACTTAATTGGGAACAACTCTGATGAGAGCAGCTAGACACATAGAGACACTAAACATATATATGTAATAAATATTTTAAGCATTGGAATGGACTGCCCAGAGAGATGGTGGTGTCACCATTCCTAGAAGCATTTAAGAAAAAATTGGATATGGCACTTTGTGCCATGGTCTAGTTAACATGGTGGTATTAGGTCATAGGTTGGAGTTTATGATCTCAGACATCTTTTCCAACCTTAATGATTCTGTGATTCTGTAAAATAGGATGTTTCTGTGAAGATTTTATGCTGAATTTGTGCTTCTGTATTGGTATCATTAGTAGATATTGTATATATTATTTCCTTGATGTACTTATGTCTATGAGCTTGTTTGCTCCTGCAAGACAGTAAAGAGATTTTTCATTCCTGACACATCCTACTTGACTGCCAGTCTTGAAATTACACTTTTTATGTAAGGGTCTCTACCTGCTCTTCAGTGCTTCTTGTATTAATAGAATGTGTATGAAAGGAAGAAAGAAACATGTATTTGATATAGACTACTGAATTTTCTTTCTTTTGCATTGTATCCTTAAATAAATTAGTGTATCTCCTAGATAACCGTCATAGAATCAATGACGTATCTTGCTTATTATTGAAGAATTTTTCTTCCCCCACCCGTGTTAAAAATTGCTTCCATGTTTTTACCATGATCCCTTGTTGCAACACTTTTTGTCAGAATATGTTGTGCTGTTTGACAAGGGCTGTGCTATTCTCCCAATGCATAAACACTTTTGTCTAACTATACCATTGAAAATGCTTGTGATTCAAGAACCTGAGTGATACTGCTCCTGTATTGTGTAGAGGCATTTGGAAATCTTCCCAGTGACTTTTCAGCAAGCACTTAATATGATTCATAATGCTCTGGGATAGAATCACAGATGTGAACGAGACCTACTACATCATCACTTCCATTTTCCTATGAGGACAGGTTATATTCCCTCAACAGAGTATGCATCAAGTATTAGATTCATACTACATTTGCTCTTCAACAACTTTACAAACCTGGCAGGAAAAGCATCACCCTGAGAGGCCTTTAAAATGTATAAAAACAAACAGGGAGTCAAGGTTGCCCTGTCCCTCTGTTTTAAATATTCTGTGCAGAGTTTTATGTTACGCTTTTGGTAATTTTTTTCAACAACCATTTGACCATGTTATCTGTACTGAAGCATGTATGTAGGTTTGTATCACACAAACTCTATGCAGAGACATATCCTGGATGTCTGGGTATGTCTGAGGAGAGAAAATTGCTAATTTTGTAATGGAACTAATTAGTATGATTTACAGAGGGGGGAATAAGGTGTATGTGAGGGAGGAATCCTTATTTTTTAATTCATCTGTCTGTTTCTCAGATACAGAGACTATATTTCAAATGGGGTTTCTTTTCAATTAATTGTACTACCTTTGCTCAGAATAGAGCACATTGAATTCAGGGTCTGTCATCTGTGGGAAGCTGCTGCAATAAAGTCAATACTGCAACTTAAATATTTTCTTCTTTCTTTCTCTCTTACTCTCTTCCCTTCTTCATCCCTCCCCTCCCTCCTCAGGCAGCCAAGGACAGTTTCCACTGACACAGAACGTCACGGTCGTTGAAGGGGGAACAGCAAATTTGACCTGCAGGGTCGATCAAAATGATAACACCTCCCTCCAGTGGTCAAATCCAGCTCAACAGACACTGTACTTTGATGACAAGAAAGGTAAATTGTTTTCTGAACTTATGCTTCTGCATCATTTTTATAGGCATGAAAAATAATATAATAATATAATCATGATATTATTATAATAACATTAGAATATCTCTTTAATATTGCAATGTGAAAATATTCCTAGGAATACATGCTTTCAGTTATAATTATTATATAATCTTTCTTTATGGAAGGAGGTTCACTTAAGTATTCTCCTACATAAAAAATTGTATTTAAATTGCTAAAGGAAAAGAATTGTGTTTTAAATTCTTACTAGAAGACAATTTGGAAAACGTTGAAAAATATCTGGGAAGAGCATTTATGAGTGGTAAGAGGTGACAAGAGAAGTAGTAGCTCATAAATATTGTGACTTGTTTTTATTAGCATTTATGTGCATATATATATAATATATTTTTCTACAAAGGTATATAATCCCACTCTTTGTTTCAAGTGTACTGTAGTCTAGTTGCTAGTGCAATGCACAGGTGCTGTGGTAGCTGTTCTTAACAGCTAGTAAAAATACTTGGGTTTAGTGCCTTGATATTTCCAATTATTCCATATGCATTTTTTTAAAATTTTAGTTAAATTAGAGGGGAGATAAAAGACAGCAAAACCCACCCATTTATTAAAAAAAAAAAAAAGCATTATGACTGCAGTGGGATATATTTCTAAGATGTTTATCTTCCTTTGAACTGAAAAGGCATTGCATTTTACATACTAGAATGTTAACATAATGATTACATTAGATTCTGTAAAGAAATCAAAACTAAAATTAGGAGTAATAAATTCATTACTTAGTGTTAAAAAATGTAGAAGCTTTGGTATGTTGCTTTCACTGGTACAGAAGTTCAGCACATTTAATTTTTAATTCTGGTGCTTGAATTCATTCCAAAAGGTGCTACATACTCTAGAACATATTTTAACAAGTACAGTTATTACTCTGCTTAAAATTAAAGACTTGCTGTCCAAATGCTTTGCCAAATAATTACAAGACTTTAAGGCAACTTTTAGGACTGAAAATGCTTTGTGGATCTATGCACTTCAATAAAAGAGAATATAAAACCTGTCATTTTATACCTGCAGAAGCTGCAATCAAAATATGTTTTTTTGCTATTAATATAATAGCTGAATAGAATCTCTTGATGGTGTTGAAGTGGTTCCTTTCTCTTTTATCTAATTTCCTGTAGCGTGTAATCATTTGATTTGCAATTTCTTTGAAATCATAAGTACCTTTTGAATGTAGGATTGAAGACAAGAGGTTTATGAGGTGCAAACTTTTGAGCTGTAAGTCTAGTGCCTTTGCTCATATGGACCCCTTTATTTTAGTTGTAATCATTAGTGATTTGGGATGGTAAGTAATGTCTGGAAAACTAAAAACAGAGAGAACTTGTCTGTTGATAGAGCACATCAATACTCAAAAAATCTATATCTTTTATAAAAAAAGTGACATTTTAAAGGATGCTGAGAAGGACGTGGGAGGACTGCAAATACATTAATTTGAACATTGTAGCCATTTTGGTGTGAATTGAATTTTCTGTGTACTTTAGCTAAATCTGTACTTTTACAACAAATAATTGAAGTTTGTATTACTTTTTTAATATAATGAATTGAAGCAACAGAATTTGAATGGCATGCAGCATAGTAAGTACTTAGAAGCAATTAATATTCCCCACAGGAAATCTGAGGAGCTGAAGTATGTAAATTTAAAAGATTGCATTCTTTATTGCACTTTTAGCTTGTACCAAGACTTTGAGGAATCCTTGATGATTCATTTTATGGAGGAATTACTGTGAATCTATTAGACAGGAAAATGTCTTGATGTGGTCAAGAAAAAAACTCAGGTCCTTCAATCAGAGATATTTAGTCTTTCTTATGTTGGCAAAGGGTGTGACATTTCCAGTCTTGAGTGTACCAAGGGGAGTGAGCAGTACATTCAGTTCCTGGATGGAAAACATTCTGCTGCTTCTAAAATGAAATTTCAGCTTTCACTGGCAATTTTTTTCTGTGTGTATATGTTTGTGTTCTTATAAGTAAGAAAGAGATTTCCTTTTCATGCTTTTGCTGCTTGCATTATTGAGCCAAAATGGAGATCCATATTTATGGCTCTGGTATCTTGGTGGTTTTCTCAGGAAATGATGGCAAGTGCAACTGTAAAGGCTTCCTCTTTTTTTCTCTGCTCATTTCCCTGTTCTCCTAGCCAGGCATATAATTTGGCTGTGAAAAAAGCATCTTTCTATGAGATTCAGTCATTGCATTATGTTATTTAGAGTAGTGCCTCAGCCAGAGTCTTTTCCAACCTGCCTCTTAATGTTAGCCAAAACCAGCCTTCAGGTCTTACTTACCCCTTCAATACCATGGACGTTGCTGTTCAATAGCTATGTTTTTCAAACCCTGAAAATTAATGAAAAATGTAATAGGTAAAGGGTTGCATTCTGTGTGGGAAACAGAAGCTTAGACAAGGAACCTCACCAGTAGCCTTTATATCCATTAGAGCTGAGTAATTGTGGATGTTACCACATATTTGCCTACTTTTAACATTACTTCCCTTTAGTAAGTTATTTTCTGTTGATGTGCTCATAGAAATGGCACACACAGGAATGAGAGTATATTTCTTTCATATCTGGAAGCATATAAACAAATTCAGGAGACCTTTATATTGATTGCTATATGTTTTAATAATTTTGAAAGACTCAGGTAGGAAAACAAAGGGAGGCATGTGAGTATCAAAGGAGGGTTGAAAGTATAGCAGAACATGAAGGAGGTGGCAGCTGCCAGCATATAAAAACACAGAATTGTTAAGGTTGGAAAAGACCTTTAAGATCATCAAGTCTAACCATCAATCCAGAACCACCATATGGTAGCATAGGTGCCAAAAATAGAGCAAATTGTCCATATAGTGAAAAGTCCTCCACTGTTAGATTATCCTGGGTGGGACCTCTTACCTGTTCACAATTCTTTCTCAAGCAAGTTGGTTGCCCTGTCTTGCAAAGAAATTTTCTGACCAAAATAGAATTTGCTGTTGTCTGGGGAAAAAAGTACTCAGTTGGTCACCTGGAAGGAATGTCTGCTTCCCATTCCTGTGCCTTTCCACAAGAGGTTAATTATTACTCTCCAGTTTATTAAAAATGCATGGCATATATTATGAAAAGAACATTCATGTTATTTTGCTTTCTTCTGAGCTGTGATGTAATCATTGACATTGAAGTTAGGAGTAATATTCTTGCTTTTTCTGATATGGGTATATTCCATAGGAAAATAGCTTTGTATTATAGCTGGATTTTTTTTTAGCTAACCTAGGTAAAACAATTGCTCCCCTCCAACTCTTATTTTGACAGTCTAAAATATATCAAAGTTGGAATTAGCTTTGTCTTCATTATTATTTTAACACAGAGTAACTATTTGGTCTCATTGATGACCTATCTCCTTCAACATGCTGTCTCCATGTTGTCCTTTTTGGCACTTCTGTTTTTCCTGGTTCCTCTACCTTGTAGCTTCAAGGACATTGTCTATCAGTTTGATTTTTAACTCTTTCATTTGAAACATAAAATCTTTACCTGACAGTAAAAAATACCCTATTGCATAAATGGATACATGATCATTAGTTTTAATAAGCTTAACAAACTTACCTTGGTTTTCTGTCCTCCTCCTCCTCACCCCCCAAAAGAATTTTAAAGACTGTGTCTTCCTGAAAAATAGGAATTTGCAACTCACCCTAAAGCAAGTTCCGATTATTTGGAAAGAAATGAATCTTTACCTGACAGTAAAAAATACCCTATTGCATAAATGGATACATGATCATTAGTTTTAATAAGCTTAACAAACTTACCTTGGTTTTCTGTCCTCCTCCTCCTCACCCCCCAAAAGAATTTTAAAGACTGTGTCTTCCTGAAAAATAGGAATTTGCAACTCACCCTAAAGCAAGTTCCGATTATTTGGAAAGAAATGTGCATGCTG